TTCCCACTCTCGATTCTTTTTACCTTGTCAGAATCGCATGAAGATTCAAAGATAGAATCATCACCGACTCCTAATTTCCTTCTAATCCCAAAATACCCAAAACCCTGACCCTAAATTACCAAAACCCTCATCGATTTCGATTAAAAATGGCCGGCGTCCTTCCTCGGCTCTACGTCAACGCCGCCCATCAATTTCCTCTCTCTTCTCTCTTACCCGTACCCGCTCGCTCGATCAATCTCCGATGCCGTCCGGGGTCCAGCGCCGCCCTCTTTTGCCGCCCGAAACGGCCGTCTCGCTTTAAGGTAAAGGTTTTTTTTCTCCCGCCCTTAATCTGAAGGATTGCTGATGAGGAATCTGAAATGTTTAGAATTTTGAGGGATTTAGGAGGATGTGATGCATTGTGATAAGGGTAGAAGAAATTGGAATGCTAAGTGTTGTTAATTTGGGTGGTGGATAGAATGCAAATGATGTAATAAATTATAGTTGTAGCGAAATTAGAATGTTAAGGGTGAGTGTGTTAAATGTAGCCAGAACGCAATGCACGTTCATGTTGGAGTTGCTGGTACTAATACCTATAATTGATGACGCAAAAAGGAAAAGAGATGCGGAAAAAGCTCATGTCCGTGACCAACGGAGGAGTTGAAATTCACTAAGAACTCGATGGGTACAATAGTGGTGGTATGTGTCAAAAATTGCAATTGCAATTCCGAATTAAACCCAATCACTCAAAAGGCAACCTACCCTCAGTCATCACGTCGAACATGTAACTGCATGTGGGGGAAGCTACTGAAACCCTCCACTTTCATGATTGACCTTCACATGTTTACCCCGTAGAAATTCACCTCTTATGCATGATTCAATTCGAGTAATCATATGGACTAGGGTTATAGAATTCAAGGTTACTATTTGAAAAGAATGAGATACAATAAGGATCAAGATTGTAGCTGGCAATGAGGAACCAAGTTTGTCTCAAAGGACTAACAAGGAAGAAAGGATGGCCCCGAGATTTTACCATGATCTCTTAAGTTTGATGATCTAACACTAGCACTAATTAGGAGCAATGTCTCTTTGAATTTGGTTTAGCTTCAAACATTACATAGTATGAAAGTGCATATATGCATGTCGCTCCATATGTTTGCTGGTACATATCAAAATTGTTGATACAGAGTCCCGAAACTGATGCATGAACATCAAATCAAAACCTACAAATGGACATGTCAAAATTTCGTACAGATTAATTCTACTATATCAAGAATGCAAATCAAGTATATTTGAAATAAATAAATGTCCCTCACAAGGAACAATACTCCTTTTGATATGATTATAAATTACCACATCGATAGGTCAAAACTTAACCAGCTCAACTTATTATATTCTCCATAATTTTTTTTACAATTCTATAATAGTTTTATTCTTGATGAGAAAAATAGGGGAGAGGATAAGGTCTCTCTTTCATTGATCATATTGAGAGTCTGTAATTTGAAACCAATATTACTTGATTTTTAATAGAGAATTACAATAGATAAATCAAAAAGTGATAGCATTGGGGAAAAAGATAGTATATTTGTTAGTATGGTTTTGCTAACACTCAAGCAGAAAAAAAAATCATCAAAATAAACACAAAGACAGTAACAGCTCCCTCATATGCTCTCTTCATTATCCAAATAGCAAAAGGGAAAATAGTAAGTGAGTTCTACCACAAACCTCAAATTCCTAAACCTCCAAGCACTGCATAGAAAAGAAGAAAAAGAATTATCAATTTATTACTCATATCAAAATTAACTATAATGGGTAATCCAAGAAATAAAAAAATAAAAAATAGAAAAATGACTAATTACAATCAAGAAAATGAGTTCCTCTGCATCAAAATTTAGTTAAAAAAACAAGTTTTACATAACCAATAAATATTTGTGAATTTTATATTTCCATTAATTTGGAGTTAAAAGAGGTAAGTTGATTGACCATTGCAATTAGGGGCAACTATGTTGGGTTGTGTGAGAGAAAGAGGGTAAGGAAGTGATTGGATGATTGGATTGGAAGAGGGAGGTTGATCAGTCTCATAAAGATTGAAAGAGAGGCCAGGGCTTTTGCCTGGTCAGAGGGGGGCATTATGAAAGGGGGCTTTGATTACATATATGAGGGGGTGGGGATTTTGATTTTTTTCTTCAAATTTTAACTTTTATTATAGCAGGTATTTATTGGGTTATATTGTGAGAGAGGTGAAGGAATTGATTGAGTTGGATTGAAAGAGAGGGGAGGTTGATCCTTCTCATACAGAGTGAAAGAGGGGCCATAAGAGAGAGCCTTTGATTGATTTTTGCTAAAATTTTTAACTTTAACGAAATCAAGTAGGGCTTGCTTTTGATCCTGATGCTAAATGGATTTGGATGGACTACATTTAATTAAGTTAGGCCCAAAAAAAATCATAAAATAAATGTATAATGAACATGTAATAAGCGAATGCCGCTTCATATTACATGCCGCTTCAAAGCTTTCTAATTGCGGCGGTTAGACTTTTCTTCTACTGAATAGCTTGAAATGGTTGATTGAGAAATTGTTGGAATTTATTGTTGCATTGAAGTCTTGGCCAAATTTTAATTTAAATTTTAGTCTATACTTCTTCAGTGCTTCTATATCTATATTTATATATAGAATAATTACTTACTATTCATATTAATTAAACTGCATAAAAAGAGGGATTGTCATGCCAAAAGTTGTGATTGAGCGGGCAGCAGAGAACCAAAAATTTTGACAGGGCAATCCTATCTTATTATTCAACATACTTACTATCCAAACGATTCCATGAAATAGATTTTCTATGACTTTAGATGTTTTAACCGTAGGAAACCACATGCACTTCGAAGGATGCCCACTGCACACGAAATCGTTTTGGTAAATTTCCAGACCACCCAAAAGTTCCCTAAATAAAAAGCATCTTTAGTCTCCATTTTTGGTTTCTTTAAATTTGTGTGACTTACCTTTTAAGGTGACACTTTTGATGTGAAAATCGATGCTAAATATAATGATCTCATTATAAGCTTATGAGTGGTGCTTTTTTCTTCTTTCGAGTGAAAGATGGAAACCACAAGTAGTGAGAGCTCCACCTGAAGTTGGTAAGGGGTATTTCGTTAACTTCTGTGGTGTTGACAATATAATGTTAATCCAATCCACCTTGTAGAGAAAAGGGGAAAATTTGTCATATTGATCGTGCTCATCCTATCTTGGCTAGTCTATTCAATTACTTTATTAACTCAAATAGTTATAGAAGTCTTAAGCATGGAGATACAAATGCGTGTTGAAGAAAATGCCGCCATTGGTAGGATTAACCAGCAAAGATCACTCAAGTTTGGAGCAATTTTCACAAGTCTTTTGCGGCTATGATTATGCATTGCTATCTTATGTTTTTATTGCCAATGTTCAAGATGCTTCCATTGGTTGTTTAAATTACTAAAGCTTGACCAATTTTCTTAGCAAGGTTTGTGATGATAATCTTTCTTGGAGAACAAGATAGTTTGGTGTTTGGTTAATAGGGTTAGACCAAATT